TGACTTATATAGTCTAAGTTTTACATATATGAAAATGAACGGGTATATTTCATACTGCAACGAAGAGGACCCAAAGTTTACGAAAAAACAACGAGCAAAGAAGTGCATCTCTTAAAATCAGTTATTAATTTCCAGATCGATAGTTTAGCATTGAGAACAAGCAAAACAATATCTACAAGAGTGAACTTTTCAAGGGTATTGTGTATTGATCCATTAAAAAATGACTTTTTAATCACGAATGAAAAACAAGAGTATTTATGTATCTATGGGTGTGCTATTTTTTTATCTGAAAGCATGAAATCAGGCAACATCGATACTGCCGTACGATTTAAATTGAAAATATATTCTTATAAACATATTGTTTTCTAACTATAAATGACGGGATTTGGGAAAAATATTGGTTTACAATATACCCTAAACCAGTACTTAAAATTGAAGTTTAAAGCTCTATTCCATTATGGGTACATAAAGCTTGATCGGAACGTGTTCTAAAGTCAATTACACTGAAGAGCATACAACACCTATTAATCCATTACTTATGAACTAATATTCTGTAGATAGTTTAACTGACTGATTATTATGGATTAGACAACGTGGTGAATAGAATACAAACTGAGTCCGTTTATTCAGTAAAAAAAAAGTCAGTTTATTTAGTACATTGTCAGAAAGTAAACTGTTTTCGATTTCCAAATGTATTTCAAAAAAATATTTAAACCTAGTCAATGAATGAGAAATGAATAATATTACATCATTACTGTTATGAAGAATTAAATGTTTATGATTAATATTCAGATGTAACAAGTTAGTATGATCCGCATAAATTTTTTATAAACAATTACCTACCATAAGCTTAGTTCACTTGGACGAATATGTTTTTTATACAAAATTAGGACATAACAAGACACGCATTACAGTTCAGATGCCGAAATACAAAAATGAACAATATGATACAATTAATAGCGTTTATGATATTTAATTTTTTAAACACAAAACTGACGATAATAAAGAAGAAACTCAAAGTAACTGTAACAATTAGATATGAACCCTCATCAAATCAGTAATACAATAGTAAATCTGCTGCAATGTAGGACCAGGCACGTATATGCATCGGCCCATCTTGCCACACCTCATTAGCACAACAGGATGAAAACCACAATCATAAAAGTAGCTATTTCAATGGTATTAATATATAGAAAAAAGAATTGCATATAAGGATATGATACAGAGAGAAAGAATTAGTTCGTAGAAATAAAAGTATAAAGTTAATTTGATCTCATAGTTTAAGGGAGGACAAAAAGTGTATACACCTACACCATTGTGATCGATTCTGAGCCATGTCACAGAGACTCCAAGCATTGGTTACAATAGTCACGCGGACCCCAACCAAGTAGTCTGCATCTACCAACACGGCTCAGACCAGAAGTTAGTGGCTTCAGGGACTGATGTCATGTTTTGGTTTGACCGCCCCTAACTTTCTTCTATCCATCTCCAACACTAGTCAGCATTGCGCGTCGTGGTAATCGGTGTTCAGGCATACGTAACACGCGGCCCAACCATCTCAGTTGATGAAGATTCAAGACCTCATCAACTGATTTACCATCATTTCTTAAACCCTGCGTCTAACCTCACTATTACTTACCTGATGACCCCAGCAGATGAGAGCAACACTTCTCAGGCACCTGTGGTCAAATACTAGTAGCTTAAGAGTATCTTCTACGATTTATGACCACGCTTCGCAGCCGTAAAGTAGAACAGAACTAACCGCCGCGCGATATACTCGTCCCTTGGTTGATAGACGGATATCTCACCTTCACCATAGATGACATAAGTTGGAAAAAGCCAAACGAGCCTTCTCAATCCGTGCAGAAATTTCGTCAGACACTAACACATTAGGGTTGATCAAACTTATAAGATAAGTGGAGTAGTCGACGCGTTCGACTACTTCACTCCCTATCCTTAGTCCAGGTGTTGACGCAGGCCAATCCTGGAGCAATAACTTGCATTTAGAGGAGGAGAAACGCATCTCAAACCTCCTGGCATTGTTGTTCAGTGCTACCAAAACACTGCATTTTATCAGTGTCTTCACCAAACAGGACTATGTCATCTGAGTATTCTAAGTTGATAAGTGAACTTCCTGGAAGGAGGTCAATGCCCGAAAATTCAGACGACAAGAACGTTATTTCCAGCAGTAGGTCTCTGATGAAATTGAATAAAAATGGAGATAGCGGACGGGCTTGCCGGACACCACTTGAGGTTGCGAAATCAGATGTCAGTTCGCCATAAGCTCTGGCTCGACCAGTAGAGTTCGAGTACAGAGCCCTCACAAAGTTTATGTAATACAATACAATCATTTACGATTCACCGAGGCTATAAATAGAACTGTGTAATGCATTACATAATTTAAATGCCTTCAGGTCAGTAGTTCTAATATGTGATATAGCCAAAATGAAACCGAAGTGTTAAGATTGAAAAAGTGATCACGACGATGACGCTGCATTTGCTTTGTAAACTTCTCATCTGTAATATATGAATTACATTTGATTTATTTCTTATTTTCTAATAAGGCCTATCTATTCTCTGAATTTCCTCTGTGTGCTGCTTTGAAATGTGGTTAGGTGAATCTATGCATTTTGGTCTCAGGTTCTACAATGATATCTATTAGTACAAAATACTAAGATAAATACAGACTGATTTAAAGTAAAAACGTTTATTTAGATCTGATAATAAACGGCTAACAATTCGATTGTCAAAATCAAAAATGCAATGAAACTATTCGTGATAGAATTTCAAAAGCAAACTATATGATTTTATTCCGTGTTTAACAAATACACCTATATGATGCTATTTATGACATTCCCGAAAAATAAGAAACAGTATGTTCATCCTAAATGGAATTGAAATGGTTAAGATAAAATCTTACAATAGAATTCATAGAAATAATCTACAATGAGAAGACTGATAACATCTGATTTTACGATTATGTTGAAAAATTTCAAAAATAGAAAGATTTTCTAACTTATAGAATGAACAAATTTCTAAGTTAACACATAATGATGAGTACAGGGATTCACGTAAAATTAATAATCAAAAAGGAATTTTATTGAGAATCAATTGATGTGAAATCAATAAATAAATCAATGATTTTTTTAAAAACCACTTAATTTGACATGTTTAACAATTTTATTTGTATACTGATTTCAATATAGATTTGGTGACAATATGAAATGTTACAATGTTAGTAGAATACACAAGGTGATATATAAAATCAACTAGAGATTTTCTTTACACTTTATTAGTCAGTAGTTTGGATCCAATGTGTAGTTTGGAGCGAGGTTGAGGTAAACCTAGCACAGTATTTTGCTCGCTAGAATTGTTGGTCATGATGACATTTGAGGAGGAAGTTGAATATGACATTTAGAGTTGAAAACCGAGGTAGGATGAATAATAGGAATCGAAGAGGGAAATCGATTATGAATAAAGTGGTACATAGCCTGTCGTATGCCCAGATGGTGATCTCGTGACTTTCGGGTTGCCTAACCTATCAAAGGCGATGGGACAGTGCATGATGGTATTGTTATGTGCTAGGTTGAAAAGAGAATTGTATGCTATATAAATGTGAATCCGCCCCGTTATTGTAGCCCCCAAATGCTCTCACATGGTCACACGTTCCTGAGGGAACAAATGGCGTATGAACCAGTCATTGATCACTGCCTTGTGGATTAGACGTCTAAGTCGAAGGCTCCGTGTGTGACCCCCTAAGGAAACCACTTACTTCGGTCTGGCACCCAGGCAGTACACAGCCCACACACAAATCAAGTGACTTGTGTGGCGCATATGTATCCGGTGCTCTTTAGTACCAATATTTATGTGTTCAAATAAATAAATAAATACAGTGGTTTTGAGTGCTGTTAGAGGTATCAGGGCGGTTACTACTTTTCGGTTGCCCACACTGTGGAAGGGTTCTTCGAGAGCTACCTGGAAAAAATTGAGTTAGTATTAGTGACCTGAAAGCGTGACTGCAGTGTCCAAGCGAAAACTGATTGAGGCCAGTCACACGCAACCATTTTGTGGGCAATTTTTGTGTTAGCTCCGTACTTGTTGAGACCTAATGGAAGGAGACGGATATCTGCGGGATAAGACGAGGTGTGCATTTTCAGGGTCGGCCTTTTCTTACCCCACATTTCCTTTGTGAGAAGGTAGCATCGCTGTTATGCTGGTTGTCTAAAGGAAACACCTTACTGCTGTCACTACAGTCAGCAGTACAACTTCGCCCTCGGACTATGGGTTTGCTGCATATAGTTTTACGGTTCTTCAACCGACCTGTTTAGCATGGTAGGACCTTGAGTAACGATTGTTCCATACAGTACAGCCCGATTGGTTCATCACGAAAGGCGAGCTAAACCACCACGTCAAGGTAGCAGCAACGGTCGGCATATATATAGTACCGTTTTAAAAATTATTAGCAGAGCATGTTTGAAACTACTAATCTGATGCATTAAAACTAGCCAGGTATGAAATAAATATACAATGAAAAAGAATCTATGGACGAAACTGGATTATTAAAAAGCCATCCAAATATAATTGTGGACCAAATGTAACTTGTTCATGACTTAACTACCCAAGTCGGACCTAATTAAATAGCATAAAACCAACTATAATTGGCCAACTCAAACAAAATAATCACTCTTCTAACCGATAAGTATAGAAAAAATAACTAAATAATAAACAGACATGACTTAATCCGTTGTTAAATTAGAACCAAGTAAATCTAAAAAGTTTATAAGTAATTAAAATAGGGTGAACAATGTGAATAATTAACAGTAGGTAATTTTTGAACTGACGTCATGTTTATATCGTAATACTTTGGTACATTTTGCAAACAACCTGAAATTTAGTTCCAACCGATACAAATTGACAAAAGAATAATTATTATTAACTCGGTCAAAGTTTTTTTTAATAACACCAAATTTACCAGTTCAACAGAAAATATCAAATGCTACGTCCTAATCTTATAAGAATTTGAAATGCTAGTTAAAAGACGTGTATCAGTAATGGAAAATTAATTAATTCTTGTAGTGGGATCCGAAGTAAAAGAAAGCGCTTCATAAAAAGTATCATTTCAATTAGAGAACTCCCTTTTGTGAACGTAAACGGAGAGTTGTGCCTACATTTTAAAATTGCAGAATAAAGGAGTAATATAAAAATAAATACTCACAGTCATCTTGACCGGATGAAATTGAAGACAAAGAGGGATGTTGATTTTGATGATAGGCTCGTTTGTCAATTAGGACACTAGAACGACGTTTCTCTCGACTTTTATAGCTTGAAGTACTATCACTGTTAGTCAGGCTTCCAGCTGGTACTAAACGAGACCCAGGTGAACAAAGTTTAGGCAGGTCATCAGTCGATACGTCACCAGAATCAATGCTATCAAATGCTTTTAGAGTAACTTGACTAGAAGTGAAAGCAAGTTGATCTGACTGTGAAGGATTAGTATTATTTGATCCACGTTCTTCAACATTACATTTATTACTTGTTGATTCCGACATAACAATTCTTTATGTATTAAGTAAAAAACGCTAGGAATTTTTTTTGTTAAAGTCGATAAATGCTGCTAATCTTTGCCCTATTGAAATAAAGAAAAAATAACTACTTCTGTTAACCAAAATCCGTGTGTGTTTACATCTATGCTTATTATTTATGGGTGTATTTTCTAAAAATGATGAAAAAGTGAGACAGACATGTGTTTTGTTGGTCGGATAAAATTTCCTGAATGGTCAAAAATTAAATGAAAAGAGGTTAGTTTGATTTTGTATCTCCTAACATTGGAGATTTAGATGCAGCCAATAATAGGTAGAAACAGGAAACTAATAAATGAAGTGGTAAAAAATTAATTAAATTTGCTGTAGAAGTGTGTGAGGATAGTTACACAAACGAAAACCATATAGCAGCGTGTATACTCAAATGAAGCTTGTCTGCACGGAGAGCATCAGCACATGAATAGCAATATAAAACCAAGCTCAAGAACAATAAATCATTGGATGGTAAGTATTTCTAAGTGGCTTAAAATATATTACTGAGAGTAAACAGGTCAACATTCATACCATCAATAAGCACGAAAGGCTTAAATTTTTTACTGGGGTATATGTATGGTACAAATTAGGACTAATTATCAGGTTAAAAAGTCAATTTATAATTTTTGATGATTCACCATTTCCTGTTGAGAAAATAGCGTAACAAGATTACAGATATGAAAATGTCAAAACAATGAACAACTTACAAAATTTGCTATTTGATTTACTAACAATGGAAATCATATTTCAGTGTTAAATTAACCATAAGTTTTTAACTGACTGTAGACCTAATACTTGCATACAAAAACTCAGAGGTACGTTGCACTAACAAAAAACGTGCGATACAGTTATTTGTGCCCTTTTTAACAAGTATTGTACATTTTCTAATCCACACACTATGAAAGTGGTCATCAGACAGTCATTAACGTAGAGCCTCGCACAAATGTTCGTTCATCTAAGTTCCCATATAATATCAGAAGACGAGGTGGAATTGACAAGATACATAGCGAAGAACCAGAATTGCTAAATTAGCAATGATAATAAGATAGTATTGAAAATATATCTCTTAAAGACAAAGTGGAAGAATATGTATAAATGGATACCAGATATCAAAAAACACAAAAAAACACCCCCAAATGCCCTGGTACGGCCGAGAGTGGGGAGAGTCCGCTCTCCCTCTCGAAATACTCTCACACGGCCACGCGTACATAGCCTCTGCCAGGGAAGTCCTACTCACTGCCTTCTCGTGGCGGGGGTGTAGTTTACGAAGATGAGAGGACGAAAAGCGAATGTCCGGCGCTTTAACCAGATTCCAAACCAATGGTGCACATGGGCTCCAGTATCCTGAGGGGACAAATGGCGTATGAACCAATCGTTGGTCGATGGCTACCATGGGACTGCATCTCCTTACGATGCTCCACTGCCTTGTGGATCAGACCTTCAGGTCGAAGGCTCGGGGTGTGGCCCACCAAGAAAACCACCTGCTTCGGTTTGAGCACCCGGGCAGTATCACAGCCCTCACATATATCGAATGAGATTTGTGTGGCGCATATGTATTTGGTGCCTCCTTGTACCAATGTGTTAAAATAAATAAATAAATAGCATGAATCTGGAACATTCCAAGCAATTCTGAGTCATTACAAAATTTTTCAACCACCGATTTAGGTTACCGTGTAAATGTCAACCAAGTAGTCTGCATCCACCAATATAACTCAGACGAACAGTCAATTACTTTGGCTGACGATAGGCCTTGGTTTAGCCACCCCCAAGCAATATTCATCCACATCAACAAACGTTGGTCGAGGTAGGTGGCGGTAAGACACATAAGACACACGTTTTAACCACCTTAGTCGATCGAGATCTACAACCGCAATCATCTTTACCTAGTGCCTAATGTCTAACCTCGACATTATTTATTTGGTCATTCCACAAAACGCGACCAACGCCATGAAGATACTTACGATCATAAGCCTACAACCTACGTAAGTCTTCTACTTTTAAAGACCAGACTTCACACACGTAAGGTTATACAAAACAGACTGAAACAGTAAGTTTATCTGTTATTTGACGTGCAGAAATATCGTCCACTCTAAAAGTAACGCAATTCCAAATCACTTCAAATTTTCCTTAGTCCAATAGATGATGTGGGACAACAAAAGCCAATGCATATCACCACCCCTCCTGAAATGTTTTCATTATAGCTGGGTGACAGTCGTTTGTTAATCAGCCATTTTCTGAAGACTGACATAACAATCGTTCTATTATGAAACGATAAACAGTAGAAATCAGCAATATCTTGAGAAACAACTCATGCAGTTTTATGACTAGAAATTCTTTTGATTTTTTTTAAAATTCATGAAATTAGGTCTTCATGTTCAAGTGACGTAGTTTTAATAGTTTCAGCTTTGCCAAAAATTATACTACGTAAGGTGGGTTAATGTTGATTATTCAATGGTCATACAACAGTTTGGTGGAAGTTACTTGAGCAATAGATCAACTGAATTGTCTTTCGAAGTTATAAACCCAGTGTTTCAAGTGTGTCGGAAGATTATTAATTGTTCAAAAGTCAATCTCAAAGTTTACGTCACGAAACCCAAGTTTCTCTCTACCAGTGGCTTAGACGTGCTCTAACAGCCTTACTATTTTCAAATCAAAATTAAATTCCGATAACCAGGTTTTATGTATGCTTCATGAAATGCTATGATTGAGTGATAATCCACATAATCCACCAGGCCAAACCGACAGAAATAGAAACGTTATAAAGAGTTCAAAGCGAAATGATTCGTGAAGCTGAAATCGAGTTTACTACGGTATCGTCTAAGTGAAACCGATTGTTACTTGCGTTTCATGAAAAATGACAGCTAGCCTTCGACTGATTTCAATCCAACATTTACGTGGTAGGTGAGTTGAAATCCCTCATAACTTACTGGAATTCTGGGTAAGGGATTTTGGGCCGAGTCGGTAGATGCAAACTACTGAGTTAATCATAATCCGAAGTTGCTTTTGTTGTGACATAACTAATGTCAGTTACAGTAGCAAAGACAAACTTATTTCCTATTTCTTTTTAAAATATGAGCTTGATTTCACTTCATATTTCTCATTCTTAGTTTTGTTGCTTTTGAACATTATTTCAAATGTACGCTTATCGTAATGACTGATAGTTTTCACTTTCTTGACCCCTCACAATGTTAATTTCCTCCTTCGATGTGCTGCGTAGTGTAGCGAATTGAACCAAAATAGTCGTGCCAGGTCTATTGCTATCTATGACTCATTGACCAAATCTTAACTTTACTATGTCGAAAACATTTACCACACAACCCTTGGTTGTTACAAATAGACCTATGAGGAACTAAAAAAGGTACCAGTTTAATGACGTGTACAAAATGACAGCCTTTTCGTTTATCACGACAGATTGCGAAGTCTTTAAGCAGTGGACGGTGTGAAAACAGCTAGGATTTCAGATATGGTTAGTTACTTGTCACTTGAATAAAAGTGGGATTTACTTAAAGGGTTGTATTATTTCCACGCTTAAAAATCCACCCAACAAATGATCTTCATTTTTATCTACTTACTACACCTGATAATTCCGATACAACAGGGGATCGAAATTATTCCCCACGCAAAATGAACTGGTAATATTATGAAGATGTAGAAGGAAAAGGCTGTACACTAAATAAACAAATAAATATATCAAGTGGAGAAAATGGATGAAAGTGATTCTTTAGGAATAAATGAGTAGTGTATGTCAACAAAACCAAACATAAGAAACAAGGAGTGTTTTCAGCATGTCTAAATAATGCATCCTCATAAATAAAAGGTTGCTAACATTTATTATATGGTTCGATCAGTTTTAAGTGTATAAAATTTCAGTAGCTTGGAAATGAAAAGACAAATAAAGGCACTGATCGATCAGGGATTGTTTACAAACATCCAATAGAAAAGCCGGAAATCAATAGTACCGATGATCTTACATAGTAGCTTATTTTAATATGACAAACGTGGCTAAGCACCAAAAGAAGACGATTAGAATACATATAGTCAAATAGCCACATAGTACTTTGACCAGTGGATTCTGGTTTAAAAAATGACTACGACTACACAAATCATGACTCATAAGCTTTTACTATGATCAGATGTACTTATCTTTCATTTTCATTCTGATTATAAACATCTTATGAGCCAATAACTTTATGACATCCATTCACCATTTTGGCCTAACTTAGTTTTGCTGTTGTTATCGGCCTTAAGTTCTCGTGCTATAAATTGCGAAACATTGGGCAAAAAGTACAGTATAGGGGCGAACTGATCAGAACCAAGAACGCGACTATCACGTTAGTATGACAAGCAGTAAAAATTTTTTTCTATAGTGCTCAGAAAACTTAAAATGGTGACGAAAAACCATTTCGCTACAATGGAGTAAACCTGATATTATTAAACATACTAAATGTTCAATCCCTATATATATTATTTATTTATTTATTTCAACACATAGATAACGGTACAAAGAGGCACCAAATACATATGCGCCACACAAATCTCATTCGATATATGTGAGGGCTGTGATACTGCCCGGGTGCTCAAACCGAAGCAGGTGGTTTTCTTGGTGGGCCACACCCCGAGCCTTCGACCTGAAGGTCTGATCCACAAGGCAGTGGAGCATCGTGAGGAAATGCAGTCCCATGGAAGCCGGTGACCAACAATTGGTTCATTCGCCATTTGTTCCCGCAGGATACTGGAGCCCATGTGCACCATTGGTTTGGAATCTGGTTAAAGCGCCGGACATTCGCTTTTCGTCCTCTCATTTTCGTAAACAACACCCCCGCCACGAGAAGGCAGTGAGTAGGACTTCCCTGGCAGAGGCTATATACGCGTGGCCGTGTGAGAGTATTTCGAGAGGGAGAGCGGACTCTCCCCACTCTCGGCCGTACCAGGGCATATATATATATATATATATATTGGCGCTGTCTTGTACCAAAGTTTATGTGCTCAAATAAATAAATAATAATAAATAAATCCCTTTTCTGTATATTTTATATAGCAAGCAAATAAATACCATTCCTAAATTTCAATCTTGGTTCAAACATAAAAAACGACCTATCAGCATTAT